CATCATCAGTCTTGATGAGTGTGAGGTTTTCTGTTTATGTGCAGTAGCTTACCCTGCCAGTATGGGATGTGGGGTTCTTAATAATTCTTTTGAACCACATTTACATACCATTCAAAAGATAAGGAGCTACCAAAGAGAAACCACACCCCCACCAACACTAGCAAGGCAAACTATTGTATATAAATGGAGGGCAGCCCCCCAACTCACTAGTACTGATGATATTACCTAGTCAGTTAATGAGATGTCTGCCAGCAAACAACCAAGCTCAGAGAGCACCAAGGACTACATAGTTGAACCTGAGATACGTGTATTCTCTTCTGTTGGCTGTTGGAAGTTCTAAGAAAGCAGCATCTGAAGGTGTGCACAGACCCTTCAGCTTGAGAAACGGGGAGTTTTGATTTGGAATTTTGAAATCTCAGTAATACAAAACATTTTCTGCTGTATTTAATTTAAATTAAATTTAAATTAAGTACAGCACAATATGTTTAAAAAAAAGTCTAGGTTCATATCTTGGAATCTGGTGGTGGGCCTGTGGAAGACCTATTTTGGAATAAGGAAGCATAGACAATAATTACTTTGGTGGACCAATGGACTGTCTTGTGCAAGGAGCTTCCCGTGTCCCTTATTGAGTTCTAAGATGGTGGCGCCTGGATCGGCTGCGGCTGCATTGGCTCTCGAAGATGAAACGTTTTTGGAGGGATATAAGGGATATAGACCACATGATTGGGAAGGTTTTAATGTGTTTGAGCAACGTGGTGGGACTAAGGTAACATACGACGGACAATCTTTGCTGGTATGGTGAGTTTTTAGCTGTTTCGGAACTGTTGATGAGACCGTTAAAAGTCGTTTGCACTGTTTGAAATTGTTCTGCCAGCAGCAAGATCTGACTGCTGGCACAGCGACGGATTCTATTGCAAATCGGGGCGATCTCCAAAGGAGGCAGAGGAGGAGAGGTCCCAGGGTTTATGGAGCAAAGGAACTGGATGAGGCTGTCGGCAGGCCCAGAGGAAGGGAGAGAGGCTTTGGGAGAAGTTGAAGGAGGCGGCAGCGTGCTCCGGGGGCGAAAAGGAGTGAGGCCTCTTTAAGGAAAAGGTGGAAGAGACAGGATCAGAAAAAACAAAAAGAGGCGAGGTTGTTGTGCAGGAATACAAGCTAATTTGAGGGCTAATCCACATGGAGCTCCATTTCCATCTGTCCTGTTTGCCATCGTTCGCTCCCTGGGGACTAAAATGGACATTCTGAAACTTGAGCTGGCCACGAACAAGGAACGTATATCAGAGGTGGTGACCCTTTGAGAGCTGTAGGCAACAAAATTTCATTTTGATGTATGCCGATTGGTGTACATTCAAAGTGACAATAAAGTTGTTGTTGTTGTAGTTATTTCATATATTTCTTATATTACAATTTGTTTCTGAGACCCAAGCCTGTATGTCTTTTGAAATTCTTTAACATTGAAGTACGATAGGAGTATTTTGTTGCCTATTGTCTCCTTTATAATAACTAGGGACCAGAATTTTGTGGTGATATTCTAGGCTTTAAGAGCCAACCTATTGTATAAATAAAAGCTAAAGTAAAATTAAAATAGGGCATGTTCCAGGCTAAAATCAGCAGTTTTCAGCTGCTATTGAAGTAAACAGGAGAGAAAGCGTGTATTTTCATTTCTCTATATTTATTTATATTCTTCTCCATCCTTTAGGCACAGTATAACTAGTAAATATATACACAGTAAAATTCCTTTCTCCCCCCCCCCCCGTAAATGAAGTTCTGTCCACAAGTGTTCATAATCTAATCTATTCCTTTTTATGTAGGTACTTGGATACAGTATCAGATATTCTAAATTCTGTAAAGAAAATGGAAGAGAGTTTGAAAAGGCTAAAACAAGCCAGAAAAACTGTAACTGCAAATCTTCCCTCCCCTTCTGGAGGCATGAGTGATGATAACAAAATTCGCTTACAGTTAGCTTTAGATGTGGAACATTTTGGAATGCAGGTAACTTAGATGCTAACAACAGTTAAGGGTTGTTGTTGTTGTTGTTGTTGTTTGCACAGCTGCAGCTGTTAATGTGTTAAAGTTTGACCACATAAACCTCAATTCCAATCGTTTGGCCAGCCATTCTCTCTTGCTTTTGATATGCTTTAGGCCGGTCACTCTCTATTGCTCCAGTATATTTCACAGCATGGTTGGTGGTGGGGGTAGTTTGGAGGGGGTGTGTGTAATTTCTTGAAATTCAATATTCATATTGTAGATCTTCTGATTATATTATTTTTGAAATATTTCTGGTGTTGCTTACAATGCAATAATTAGTAAATCTGATCTTTTGTTTTAGATGGAGAAGATGGGGATGCAGCTGAGCAACATTACAAGTTTTTCCACTCTTTCGGAGCTTGTTCAAGCTGCTAGAGGTCAGATAGCCAGCGAACAAACATAACACAATCTCCAGCTTTTTAATGAAGAAACCTAGCTTCCCAAAAAGAAAAAGAGAGTTTATTTTTTATTTTTACTTTCCTTTGCCAAATGCCGTGTAGCAAAAAAAAGTGCTTCCTAATGCAGCTCCAGCAGCAAATTTAAATGTGTCTCAAAATATAAAAAACCTCATTTCATTAAAATAAAGAAACATACAGGGGAGAATGTTTATTTTGGTTTTCCATTATATGGAAGGCAGTTTATATATATTCTACCTATTCTGCCATAGGATTATGGAAAATATTTTTATTTTTATTGTAAATTATTATCATGCAGAAAATTGAATTTAACATGATTAAAATGAACAAAAGGATTTTTGTCTTTTTGTAAATTTTGTTAGAATAAAAAGTGGCGTTAATTATGTTCATATGTCTTGTGTGTTTTTATTATTTTGTGATGAAAACAGTAACAAAAAAGTATAAGAGTAGTAATGTTGTGACATGCAAGGATAGTTTGTATTATATTACTTAGAGTTTATAAAGAACTATTATTGGATTTTTTTAAAAAGAAAACTATTTTGAAGCTTTTTCTCAAGGGGTGGCATCTTTTATCCCAATTCAAAATGTTGCCCATATCCTGTGATGAAAATTGAATGTTTCTCCAAGTGTCTTTTCCTTGAAGGTGTTGTTTTCAGATTACCTGCTATTTTTTGTTTGTTGGGCATACAATAAGTGAACTATAGAGATAGAGCTGTAGTATTTATTTGGTAGAGGTTTAGTCAATCATCTCAGAATTCAAGGCTAATTGAGGAGTGCTTTTACAGGCTTGGTAGGCATTTTTGAGTGGTTATGGCAACCCTTTACTTCTCAGGGACCTGGAATTCCTATTTCCATCAAAATCCTTATATCCATCACTGAAACTCTGAAACGCTTTTTTTTTTTTAACCCTCCTTGAGGTCACTATAACACAGCATGATCCCTGGAAGGTTGGGAGGCTCAGTTGTGGCTCCTGGCTGCCATGGTGTGGACAGTTCCTAATTTGAAAACATACGTAGGTGAGTCTTGACAGGAAGAAGTTCTGAATTTGAAGAAATGCACATTGTTATGACTTCAGGAGATAAAGTATCCTAGAATCACAGCGGTTCTTACACTATTGATACTAAAAAAAACCTTTGAATCAGAATGCTGGACAACAAAGGAGAGAAAGGTGGCCTTGCATTAAATTAGTTTTTGCCTACTACTGGCATGCAAATCAAACAAATTATGTTTTCCTGATTCCCCCCCCCCAAAAAAGGGGGGGGGAGATTCTTCATCTCTATTACTAGGATGGAGCACAGAGCAAGACATGTTTAATATCCAGTTTGGATTCTGTTTCAAAGGTATGCATACAGAGTATAAATTATAATGCCAAGGTGACAAGGAGGGAAGAACCATGAAGCAAACATATGAATTTTGGCATGAAATTTCTGGCCCTTGGAATAAATGTATAGACAAGTTTATAAAAACTTTAGTTGTAAATGCTTATGTTTGGCACCCTGCTCTAGATCAGAAGTCTCCAACCCCTGGTCTGTGAACCGGTACCAGCTGCGGCATGCACAAAAAAGCAAAACCCCATCTGCGGGATGCAGGCAGAACACAAAACCACGCACCCTCCGATGCATGGAAAAACCTCTTTCCACAGAACCGGTCCCGAGTGACCAAAAGGTTGGGGACCTCTGCTCTAGATAGTGGATCCAGCAATCCTGAAATGTTATTATGACCAGCAAGTGCACCCAACCACAACTTTTTTTTCCAGTCAATGTGTGTCTCAGAGAATATGACCAGATATTCAGGGATTTCACTGCAATGTATTGATCAAACAATTCAGTTCAAGGCCTGCATTATTTTTAATGATGGGAATTTTTCTCCATGCTTGTGGGGTGAGAGTTAATGATTTTTAGACGCAAAGTAGGTGTATTAAATCATCTTGCAGATTAAGCCTTTAATTTTTTTTTATTTTTTTCAATTGCACTATCACAAGTTGTTCTGGATTTGGAAAGCTATTCAACCTTGTTCCTCCTGGCATATAATAAATACCTCACTCCATGGCCTTCTTCACACTAAATTTGGTCATGGGTGGGTAATATTTCATGCAAATTGTTAAACCCAGTCCCACAAATCCAAGCATGGAAAGGCCTAGAAAATGCAAGCAGAGGGATTACTGACCAAGATAGGTCATATACTATTAGCCCAAAAAGTTGAGTGAGTTTGCTGGGAAATTTCTCAATAGTATCATGCAAACATGACCTGCGTGTGCAGTTTTCATAAAGTAATTCCTGTAACTTGAATAGAGTTTAACTCTAACATTATACTAATTTAGCTAAAGTTAGTTGTGTGATAATTAAACATAGACATGGCTAAATATCTTTAAATTGAACGTGGAAACAGGTTACTAATTTCTCTGTTCTGGATATATTATTTCCCACATTTTTGAGTGGCTGAATTCTTTCACAGGGAATATTAGATCGACGTACATTGTTGAATAAGCCAAAATAGTTAGCTTTGCTAAACCATAAACCACGGATTAAAATTTATACAGCACACATTGGAATCTCTCAGTAAATGGAAAATGATCTACTTTATCTTATAATAATCTTATGAGATGTGAGCACTTTATTAATCACAACGTAAACAGCAGTATTTTTTTAGAAAGTTCTATTGATAAATTTGTCACTTTTATTTTAGAAAGATGCATTAGTTTTCAAAGCAAGACAAAAAACCAACAACATAAAAACTAAGTACTACAGGAAAAAAATTAAAGGATTAAAGAAAACTATTTTTCCCCATCCAGAATTTATGTTTCTTGTAAGGGATTTGTTATTTGGCCAAAATAAATCAATGCATCTGATTCTTTTTCACACACTGCGAAATGAAATGGCTTGTTCAATGTTATTTTAAATGTCTCGCTAGCATGTTCTTCTGTGTGAGCTTCTACTTGATCTCCTTCACTGGGGCTGAGCTCAAAAAGTTGCTGATTTATGATCTGCAAGCAAAAACAAAGACAGTAAATCTGAGTTAGTAGGCCTCAGTGCTAAGATTATAAATGAAAAAAGCCCAATAAAGGAAAAGATATTTTAAAAGTGCTAATAAAGAGATTTAGAAACTTGGAATTTAAAAAGTCATATAATTCTTATAGAAGGCTTATATAGTTGTGCCAATACTGCCCAATATCTATCTATCTATCTATCTATCTATCTATCTATCTATCTATCTATCTATCTATCTATCTATATCCATCCATCCATCCATATCATCTATATATCAAGGGTGGGGAACCATGGCCCTTTTATGACTTGTGGACTTCAACTCCCAGAATTTCATCATGAGCCATATTAGCTCAGGAATTCTGGGAGTTGAAGTCCACCAGTCATAAAAAGGCCATGGTTCCCCATCCCTGATCTCTATCATCCATCCTTGGATACTGAATACGTGGTCCAACCAATAGACTTATATGCTTACAAATGACTGCATACCTTTACATTGGTCACATTATTACTGCTTAGCAATCTGAAATTGGCTTCTTTTCCAAGCAGATTAGGCATCCCCAGTTTCACAAGGAGTTCTTGAAGGTTGTATATGCTTGTAAAAGACACCCTTGGAAAAGTCAGGTGAATTTGTCTGCAGAAGGAAGAAAGAAAGGGAAGAAGAAAGGGCAAAACACAAGATAATGAAAGGGTTGTCTCAAAATAAATTTCAAGAAGTGATGGTTACAGGCTTCAGGAGAATTTGGGGCTGGGTTTGCCAGTGAGCACTCATAAACTGGAAGGCAACATTGGTTGCTTCTCTGTCCTGACAAAGGAACTGGTGGTGATTATCTCTCAAAACTCGGGTATGGGAGAGAGAGAGTGGACTTTTCCTAAACATGTACTATAGTGGTAACCATACCATTGTCTAAGAAATCTATTGCAGAGGTGTCAAATTGGTGGCCTGTGGGCTGGATGCGTTATGCGCAGGCTATGCCCGCCCCGGCTCCGCAAAGGTAAAAAAGTCACAAAACATCACAATACATCACGTGATGCAATCAAGTTTGACACCAGTGCTCTATTGTGTTTGTGTGTGTATGTATTTTAACAAAGCCACCCAAATTCAGACATGATCCCTGTGCTTGGTCCTTTCTGCTCAGGCACTTGATCAGATCTTTTCATAATATCCACCAAAAGTCTCTCTTTTCATCCAGATGTCCAGAATAACAACAACACTTTCCTAAAATAATTTGGCAAATAACTACTTTGATTTTATATCTATTTGTAATTCTGCACAGAAATGCTACACAGCTCCCTTTTTGTATTGTGCACAAATAGTTTGTTCTGTTGTATATTGAAGGTCCCTTCTCTTTTGTAGCCATACTATCTTAAGCTATCACCACCTGATGAATTATTTGTGATGCCTTGTACATACCGTAGATACTCAAATCAGTGAAGGACAGATTACAATGGCAGATTTGAGTGGATACTCTACTAATACATAGGCTTGAATCCTAAAGAAGGTTATGGTTTGGAATTATTTTCTGGAAGAATAAAAATAAAAATAGGTAATCCTTATTTCGGACAAATGAGTATCCAATCTCTTCTTAAAAACCTCCAATGTTGGAGCACCCACAACTTCTGGAGGCAAGTCATTCCACTGATTAATTGTTCTAACTCTTGGGAAATTTCTCCTTAGTTCTATGTTGGATCTCTGCTTAGTTAGTTTCCATCCATTGCTTCTTATCCTGCCTTCAGGTGCTTTGGAGAATAAGTCGACTCCCTCTTCTTTGTGGTAGCCCCTGAGATATTGGAACACTGCTATGAATATTTGAGTATGAATGGTGAGATGAATACTAAAGTTTAACTTAGAGATGCTTCATCTATTGAAGAATCTCATAACTACCACATCTGGACTTTCCCTGAGTCTACAAAAATCTTCTTAGAATAATAGAATTGCAAGCTGCCATTTCAGCCATCATATCTCACTTTCTGCACTGTGCAGGAATATAAATTAAAGCATTCCAGAGTCACATGACTGTCTAGTGTAAAGAAGAACCAATTATCCACCACCTCTTTGGGTAATTGGTTCTACTGTTCGTACTTTTAGGAAGTTTTTACAAGTTCCTAGTGTTGTGATGAATGTGTGAACGTACTTTGATTGCAAGTCTTCAAGCCATTCCAAAGAAGGTATCAAAGAATACAGATCTTCATCACTAGGTAGCTCACTGTTAGGCTGTAAAAGCAGCAGAAATACACTCTTGTTGAGAGGAATTTTAACAATGGAAAATCCTGGATGACTTTTATGCTCGAAGATTCCAGATACTGTCATCATAGGAACAAAGATCTTCGTGTGGGAATCAAGCCAGAATTCTTGAGATTCTTTGAGTGGGGATGCTCCATTTATTACAGCTGAAAAACAAATGAAAATGTGGTTAGAGGAAACTGTTTCCCTCTCTTTGGCATAAAAAGATTCTAGCTGAATATTTACATGCAATGTATATTTACCTCCTTATCCACTTCTCGGACAGAATTCAAGGTTCCTACTACATTTGTACATTATAACACAAAACCATAAATCAATAAATCAAAGACTGGAAGAATATAAGAGATGGAAACTAAATTCAAAATGTTAAGTGAAGTAATACTTAAATTAATTATGTGATTTATTTAAGGAACCTTGAAAGGCTCAAGAACACACTGTATTTTTTTCAGCAGTTGAACATCTGCTTAGAAAACTGATCTTCAACACCTTAGGCCCAAAACAGCTAGGTAACCTTGGGCCTGTCATTCTTTCTAAGCCAGTGCTTCTCAACCTTTTTAATGCCGCGACCCCCAACCGGTTGTAAGTCGAGGACTAAACATGTCGTAAGTCGAGGACTTCCCAACCGGTCGTAAGTCGAGGACTTTCCCTGCCCGGGAGCGGCGTGCATGCGTGGTACCGCCCCCTGCACCGGCCGAGGCGTAGCTGGCAAGCGGCAGAGACGGAGCAGGCCGACCACCGGCTGGGCCACCAGCTGGCCCAGCCCAAGGGAGGTAAGGCACCCGCCAGAATAGGGGAAAAAAATGGCGGACAGCCTTGCTTGGCGACCCCTGTGAAATGGTTGATTGACCCCAAATGGGGTCGCGACCCATAGGTTGAGAACCGCTGTTCTAAGCCTTAGAAAGAAACAGACAAGGGCAAACCACTTCTGAAAAACCTTGCCAAGAAAACTGCAAAAACTAGTCATCAGCAGTCAACACTGACTCAAAGGCACAAAAACAAATACAGACTTGGCTGACTCTGTTATGAGAGACAACCAGATCAAATGGGTTCACATATTATGCATAGCTAAATTCTTGCCTACTAAGTTTGTCAAACATGCAAGCACAGACATTATCTGTTCAGTACTCAAAGAATCAAGGGAACCTCATTCTCAAACTGGGAGATGAGTAGCATATAAATTTAATAAATAAAAGAAATAAAACAAAGTGGTGGGATGAAGCAGGGAAGCAAACAGTTTATTCCTATGCTGTAATTTTAAAAAAATCTTTAATCTCTGTGCTTTGGTCCTGACCAACCATAACTGATGCATACCTCCTTACTGTTCATTTGGTACTGTCAATCTCTCAGTGGCTATCATGCTTTTGCCTATGAAGTAGTCATTGTGAGCTGCAACTGTGAAAAAGGGGATCATCTCCAATTTTTCAGAATAATATACAAAACAGTATAGACCAGGGGTAGGCAACCTTGGCTCTTTTATGACTTGTGGACTTCAGCTCCCAGAACTCCTGAGCCAAGGTTGCCTACCCCAGTATACACTTTCCAAGCAACTCTCTTCCCCACCCGGGGGTCTCTCAGTGAGGAATGGGTATATATTCTAATGGTTAAAAGATAGGTGCGTAACCCATTGTACCTGAATGCCCATCCAATTTGCCAAAAATTAATTTTACTCAGAGGGAATTAATAATACGGGTTATTCAAGTAATGTTCTGTGTTACAGGTCTGATGAAGGTCTGGAGATCCAACTCCCCATATTTATTTCAATCCCCATTTTAACATGTGGACAAAGTAAATATTGCATTATTTTACAAGTTTCGTATCATTAATTTTCTCCTCAATCTGCTCCACTCTAGGGATTGTCATTGGTCCTAATCTGTGACAATCCCGTTTCCTGTCAGGTACCTTTGAAATGAGTGTACGTTGTCAGCAGCAGAGTGGTTTCCTGATCAATGTCAGCCAGCAGACTCTTGGTTCTGTGTCTGCTCTTTCTTTCGACAAAAGCATTTACTTGTTTCGTGGCTTCTGTGGGGTTGGTGAAATCCACAGCTCGAACATGGAAATTAACATCTGGAAAGGCCAATTCATGGACAAAAGACTCAGATAAATGGGTACCAGGAGCAGAGAAAAGGCACAAAAACTTGGAGAAAAACAGTCCCTCTGGGTCCCTGGAGCGTAAAGGGGCATTCAGGATAATCTTTAGAGCAAATAGAATTTTATGTCCATCTATTTTGAAGATACAACTTGAGTCATTGGATGGCAGGTTGAACCCTAATAAAATCTGCAGATGGGTTGCTGTTTGTCCAGAAGCCCCTAAATAAATGGACCATAGAGACTCATATATGAATATAGGAGAGAGGACAATGTTGCTGCCTCCATGTATTTTCTTCAGCTCTTTGTAAAAACGGCCCCCAACCACATAAATGGGGTGTTTTAAGAACGTCACGCCTAAGTGTTTCTCTTTTTCCTCACTCTTGTTCCTCAGACTCTCTTCATATGTTGAAGTGAAATGGGATTCAATTGAGAGGGGAACAAACATCTTCACCAGCTGTTCTCTTTCTTCCAGCTCCTTACAGCTGTTGGCATCAGTATTGTTAGGGGAAAGCAGATAAAAGGGGTGAACATATACTCGATCACAGCCTCCAGTGGTAAGGTACAGAAGGACACATAGCAAAAGGACTCCAAGTTTCATGTTGACGTGGATCTTCACCTGTGTCTATTTCAGAAAGAAATAATTGCAATTGTCATCAGTGTATGTTTTTATGAGTTTTCTGCTAGCTTTCCTTATTAAATAGCATAACTAGCCAAGCCACAGAAAAGTTAATGCCTTTACTTAGGAAGCATCAATTAGCCTACATGGAAAATTTGCCATGATCCATTTGTATTTCTGTACTTCACTGAAACACAAAGTATCTAATCACATTTTACTATAGTGTTTTACATTGGGTTATAAAACTGGATTTAATTATGGATACGCATGTTCAGCAAATATATTCCATGATTCAGTCAGTGGTGGGATTCAAATATGTGAACAACCGGTTCTCTGTGTGGATGCCGCTTCCGGAAGTCCATTCTGGGCCTGGGCAACAAAAAATTAGCTACTGGTTCTGCCAAAGTGGTATGAACTGGCTGAATCCCACCACTGGATTCAGTGCTATATTGGTTTATCCGGAAAACATTTCCAGAGATGGATAATTGCAAGACCTTATTCCTCTTTTCCTTTGGAATATTATTTCATTTTAAATCAGCCTTGGATAATTTTAAAAATAGGCTCTCTTTAATAGGGGTACTTTTAAAAAAAAAATGCTTTTTCTCACTAAGTGCTGTTTGAAAAGATGAAGCTGCCATATACAGTCCTTAAGTCCAAAAGCAACCATGTAGATCTTACTAAACAACAATAGGCTGCATTTAGATCTTGCTTAGCATACTGCATAAATCTTGCCAGTTATACCTTTTTTTTCTTGAATGTATATCATGGCTTGTGACTTAGTATTAAACATGCCTCAAACAATAAGTAAAACAATCCTTCCTAAAATATCGCTTCTAATGTTGTGCTCTTGCATCAACTAATGATAAAAAATGAAGTCCTAGTATAGAATAACCTAATTAAGATTACAATTATTATCTGGAATTATGTGCCACCAAACTCCATCATTGTAGAGCAGTGCTTTAGAAATGATGGGAAGAAGTGATTTAGACTTTGCGCTACCTGGTGCCTCTTTAAAGCAGTTACCTTTCCCCCCACAGTAGCCTCAGAAAAAATATAGCTACTTTAAGAAGCCAGTTCATAAAAGTGAGGCTATAATAGATGGGCTGCAAAAAAATCTGGAGGGCACTAAATAGCAGCAAAGAGTTGGTCATTCAGAGCTTTGCAGCCTAGGTACAGAATATCCAGTGAAGAACTTCAATACCAAAAGAATAGTTTATAAAATCTTATTTTGTATACCATCTATTGCAGTAGTTCTCAACCTTCCCAATGCCGCAACCCTTTAATACAGTTCCTCATGTTGTGGTGACCCCCAACCCTAAGGGCTCTCCAAGCGCACACTGATGCTTCCCACTTGCCCGCCGTGCCCGGGGCTCAGCGCGCCTCGTCTATCGTCGCCTCACTTCCAAAGGTTGCCGGCCTCCCCAGCTCCAGCTGGCCGGGGGGGGGGCAGGAAGGCCGCTCCGCTCAGCCTGGTTGGAGAAGCACCCAGGCGGGGAGAGGGAGAGAGAGAAAGAGAGCCAAGAGGGCGACAGCACCGGCAGAGCTTAGTTCAGCCTCCTCCATGGAAAGGGCCACGAAGCAGCGCGGCCTCCCTTAAGAGATCCGGTGCTGCAACGGCCCCCAGCTCGAAGCCATGTGGAGACGGATAGAGGAGCAGTGTCTCAGTTCCTAAGACCATCGGAAATATGTGTTTTCCGAAGGTCTTAGGCAACCCCTGTGAAAGAGTCATTCGACCCCCCCAAAGGGGTCGCAACCCACAGGTTGAGAACCGCTGATCTATTGGCTTAATCATTGAAGCATTTAACCCTGAAGTGATGACCTCTTCTCTGAGGAAGCTAAAAGAATAAAAAATAAAACTCTAAAACAGATCGACCATGTATCATTCTTTAGGACAATCCTCTCTTTATAGGACTGGTATGCTGGTGGTAAAAATGGTGCCCATCCAAAATTAGCACCTGGAGAGTGATCTGAAGGAGCACATGGCAACTATTCTATTTACTATGCCAAGATGCTAAAGTGATGTTTCTCAATTTGCACATCTACAAAAATATGAATAACAATATATAGCCCTTCATTCATATCAGTACAAAAAGAACTCATTCTTTCTGAATTACATTCTTCAAACATCATATTTTGGTGACTAATATTTACATTGCTTTCTATGATCCCACATGTACATTGCTTCCAGTACAGAAAATAAAACAGTAGCCCAGTAGTAATTAAAATAAATGTGATTTACCATGAGCAGCTGCATCCTTTTTCCAGGCTCACATTAAAGAGGTGATGTGAAGGTCAAAGTATTTGTTTGCAAAAAAATGTTAAGAAGTCCACAACCCAATTTCCCTATGCTGGCTGGGGAATTATGGGAATTGAAGTTCATACATATTAAAGCTGCCAAGATTGAGAAACATTGGTCTATCACCTTCTCTATATTTTCAATTCAATTACAGGTGAAGCCCAGTAGCATCCACACAGGAGGGCAAGGGACACAAGAAGGCATGATGTCATAGCACAGATGGTATCAATAATATAATGGCACACAAACACAAAATGTTTTTGATAACATTCATCAATTAATAAATCACTACTACTATTACTAGTACTACACAATGACATTGTGGCTTGTTACTGTTGAGGGAAAAGTCTTCATCATGGTTCAGTCCAAGCTGGGAATAAACAACATGGCGACTGCTTTAGGAAGAAGTTTGCAATTTATTGAAGAGGAGAGCCAGACAGAAAGGTGGCTCTGGAAGAAAAGAGAACACATGTAGGGAGTGGGTTTTTATACCCTCTGGGACTCTTGAGGTTGTTTCCTGTTCATGTTTGAGACTTTGTATTTCCTGTGTCATGTATTTTGACCTGATGAGTGTGCCCCTTTGGCATCTGTGGGCTAATCCTATTATGCCTATCTTAGACTTTGAGTAGGGCAAGGCTTTTTTTTTCATAGAACACCCAGAACAGAATTCCGGCACCTTTTTTTGGATGGAACCTTGTAGGGAAGGGAAGGCGGGTTGTATGACATGTGTGAGTTCCGGCACCGTTTTTTTTTTTTTTTTAGAAAAAAAGCATTGGGGTAGGGTATGTAGATTTTAGGTGTCTTTGTCTTCCTAAGCTTCTAGTTGGGGGCCTCCAATCTTCCTGGATTATTTACATTTGCATTTCTACAGAGCTGGTTCCTGCTTGGGGAGAGAGACTTGAGCTATTAAGAAAACTGGGAATGCTTTTCTGTCTCTTTTAAGAGATTCTTTGAGCAAACATAATATTTTCTTTTTAATGTTTCCTTTTGGGGGGGTCTGACTTCTCACAAATCCCCCCTTTGTGCCACAAGATTAAAATTGATCTGGCCAGGGAGACTTGGTAAACAAGCTTTAAACTGTTAGGCCAAAAAAAAGAGGGGAAGACACTAATGGAGGCAGCAGAAAAAGATCCCTTCAGTGGCTCCCAAAAGGGGAGTTTCCAACCCATAAAGGTCTAAAAGTCAGGGCAAAAGTTCTGTTAGATGGAAAATAAATTTATAGTGTCCAATATTCTGTGCCAGTCATTTTCAAATGTTGGATGTCACTTTGAGCTTCCAATTCAGGTTTGCACATTCTTCCCAAAATTCTTCACAGCCATAGTTTGCCTCAGTACATAACCACTGGCTGCCCATTTTCAAGGGTTGTTTCCTGCCTTAGCTCTTAGTTCAGTGCATCCAGATTTGTGATGTCCAATTGAGGTTAGCCAGTGTGCAAGCCAGGCTATTAATTTTCTTTAATTGCACATAGTGAGCCCTAGGACTCCCAATCTGAGTCCACCAGTGCAAGCTATTTAGTGCTCAGGTTTGGAGATCTCTTTCCTGCTACTTCCCTAGTCAGGGCATATGAATTGCAAATCACCTGAGGGACCTGGTTTCCTCTCCCTTGGAATTTGCTGGAAGTTGTTCCTACAAAGTTTTAATGACACAGAGCAAGAATCAGGCTGGAGCTTTACTGAAGGTAGGTGAAAGAGATAGACTCAGTATGATTATGAATGGTGTGTGTGCATGTGTGTGTGCAGCTACTAATACAAAACAGGCAATACAAACATTCTGGATAAATTTTCCTCTTACCAGACAGAAATCCAAGGTGTTCAGGACTTGCTGTGCTAACTATTCCCAAATGCCATCACTCCATAAATACATTCAACTGCTTAATTACAATACAAATGGGGTAAGAAAGAAAACCTTACAGTGAGTTTCTACCCTCCCCCCATAGTTTTCCTAATTTTCTTTTGAGGCTTCATGTGGGGACCAATGGCTCCAGGACTCCTTCTTTCCTCTGCAGCTTTCACAGGCATCTGGGGGAATGATAGGACTTGGAAAGATCTGTTCCACTCAGGTTGCATGATGGCTTTTTAGTGGATGGCTGGATTCAAAACCCAATTCCATGGCTCAAATGGATGGAGGTAACATCTGGGTCAGTGTGATCTGCTTCCAAAGGGTCAGGGGGTCATCTGTGTAGGGCTGAAAGACATGAGGGCAAGATCTCCTCCCCCCTTCCTGCCCAGGAGAGGCAGACAAAGGCATGTAGAACAGAGGATAAGAAAAGGAGAAGTAGAATTGTGGAGGGGATAGCTTGCAGACAGAGTTTGCAGTGGTTAAAGAAACAGATAAGATGGGGACAATACCAATGAGGACAAAAGAGAGACTGGATTCTGGTAAGAGAACAACAAAATGAAAGATCTCATTTCTGAAATAAACATTTGTAACATATTAAAGAGAACTAAAGAGTTCCAACTTGAAAAATGCTGGGCATGTTTCAGGAAAAGGATAGACAGGTAAAATCCATTTACAACAAATTCAGTAAATGCAAGAGTGAAACTTTTCCAGCAAATGAATTTAAAACATTCCCTCCTAGTAACTTTGGGCTGTTCTTAAGAGTACAGAGAGAGAGAGAAAGAAGAAGAAAAAAACATTTTTCTTAACTCTGTTTGTTGGCCAGACAGAGTGAGGTTATTTTCCTTTTGGTGGCTTATTTTAAGCAGAATTTCTAGCAGAATTTTAAAATTCTTTTCTGTTTGGATTAGAGACACTTAACAGTCACATTTTCGTTACACACAAAGACTTTGACACACATATACACACAAAGACAAGGAAAAGAGAACTGAAAAAGGAAACAGAAGTCTTAGTTTTACACATCCTGGTCATTCCCACCACAAATCTCAGTTAACTCAAATTAGGGAAGACACAAATCTTAAACATACAACGTGGTTGCATAGAAAGTGAGAGAGAGAAAGAGAGAGAAAGAAAATCACTATTTCTATATTTTAATTTCCTTTTAAGTATCTTTATTTAGCCCACAGGTCGGCAACCTGCGGCTCCGGAGCCGCATGCGGCTCTTTGAGCCTTCCCCTGTGGCTCCCAGCCTCCTCTGCCTTTGCAGAGAGAGACAGAGACAGAGAGAGGCAATTGCGCTTCCCTGCTTCTCTCTCTTTCTCTCTCTGTGTGTGTGTGTGTTTGTGTTTTTGTGTGTGTGTGTGTGTCTGTGTGTATGTGTAAAAGAGAGTGCACTCACAGTATTCTCCGAGGAGCTGAAAAGCTTACTGGGCGGAGCTCCTCCCTTTGCTGCATCTCTGAAGGAAGCAGGAAGCAGGAAGGGCAGGAGAGAGCTAGCTAGCCCAGCTAGGCTGACTCAGGAATTCTGGGAGTTGAAGTCCATGAGTCATAAAAGAGACGAGGTTGCTTGTTGGACAACAGCTTGAAGCTTGCCAGGTGAGCAGCAGATAGGGGGGGGGAGAAAGAGAGAGAGAGAAAGAGAGAGGGAGGGAGAGAGAGAGAGGAGAGAGAGAGAGAAAGAAAGAGAGCGGGGGAAGAGGAGTGGCAGACCAAGGGCAGATAGAGAGGGAGAGAGAGAGAGACCCTTTTGACATCTAAAATGAAGATAACACTGCATATATCCTTTTTTTACCTGTGTGTGTGTGTGTGTGTGTGTGTGTGTGTATACACATACATATATACATATACATATATATACACACACACACATACATACACACACAAACACACACACACAAACACACACACACAAACCACACACACACACCTATAATAAAGGTAAAAAAGGATATATGCAGTGTTATCTTCATTTTAGATATCAAAAGGGTTTTGCGGCTCCCAGTGTTTTGTTTTTGGTGGGAAACGGGTCCAAGTGGCTCTTTAAGTGTTTTGGGTTGCCTACCCTTGATTTAGCCTAATTGGTTTCCCAGCAAAGCCCATTCTTTACAAATTTTCTGTGCTCGTTTCTTTTTCATGCCATCCAGGATGGGCACTCGCCTCTCGTCCCACGCCTCGAGCAAATCTCCAATAGGTGTCCTAATTCCGACCCTCAAACTACAGCTACCCATGTTCCCCTTATGATGTGGGGCTCTATCGGCTTAGTTGGGTCCAAGCGGCACTTCCAAGCCACTTTTAGTGATACTATCCCTGCTGCCCTGCCTGTCAGTTTTTGGGCACACAAAAAATTGCCCAGGAGTACTTTGGTTCCCTAATGAAGTAAGGGCCCCTCCTACAGGGAACTCCCTGCCGTCACTTTGCAAACCAAAAAGGCTCTGGGGAGGACCTGCCACCCTTGGCTCAAACAGGTACGCGGACTCCTTCTACCTCATTGCCGTCAGTTTTCAGACTCAGGTGGAGTCTGGGAGGACCTGTGCTTTGTGCACTAGTATGAGCCCCTCCTACGTATGGGCTTTGCTTATGGGGCCTTACCAACTGGTTGCCCAAATCCAATTCTCTCATTCACTCATTCCATTTGCACACAGCCTCTTCCTTTTCCCTAACAAAAGGTCCTGCGCTCTGGCCAAACCCCCATGCTTTCCAGGGCCTGCCACTTGAATAGATCCTTTCTGCAATTAAGAAAAGCCAGAGGGAGCAAAATCCAACTGTGATTGGGAAAAGGGTCTTCTCACTCACACACAGAGAGACATACACACATTTCTCTCACTCCCCAGAAACCACTTCTACTGCAAATATTTAAAGAACCAGCATTTGCTCTCTGTTGACATTTTATCTGGTTCTCATAAAGTTATATCATTACATGAAACATTCAGTTTTATGGGCTTCTGTTTAGTGGACTTTGAACACAATAGGCCAAATCTGCTCTATGTTGTTTGCTTTGACACACCCCATGGGCCATTTTGTATGTGCATTAAATCCTATTTGGATTTAATGGATATTCTGCTTAAATAGCTACTCTGTCTTCCATTCATCCATTAAATTTAGGGCTATCAGATTATCTAATTTTTTATAGCCCAAATCTGCTTATCTTCATTATTTATTTTCTCCTTTTGCATCTTTACTTACTCTCCCTTTACACGTATTTGCAATCTGGGCAATTTGAAATTATTCCAGTGGTTAATGTGCCCTGTACATTCTGTAAAATGAGGGATTACGGTATTGTTCCACCAGTACTTTGGCAGTCCAGCTAATGACAACAGATTTTATACTGCCATCTGATGGTTAGTGACCCTATAAATTATTTGGGTGAAATCTCATTGTTTACTTATATGAATGTAGTTAATTTGTTTCTTATCAAAACTTAAGCTTAGGTGATAAAAGTTGCATATGAACTGAGTTTCATGTATCACACTAAACTATAGTTAACTTCAACAGGCTTTTTGAATATGCTGTAGTAGCCAAGGTTTTATATATATATTTCATTTATTTATTTTTATTTATTTGTATCCCACCATTATTGTTTATACAAATAACTCAAGACAACAAACATATTCAGCACACCTTCTTTCTCCTATTTCCATCTCTCTCTCTCTCTCTCTCTCACACACACACACACACACACACACACCCTGGCAGATGAGTTGGGCAGAGAGAGAGAGAATGACTGGCCTAAGGTCACCCAGCTGGATTTCAGGCTAAGGAGAAACTAGAACTCATGGTCTCCGGCTTTCTAGCCTGGTGCCTTAGCCACTAGGCCAAACTAGCTTGTTATACCATGATTTATTAGAACTGCTTCAACTGTGTTGCCAAAAATTGGACCACCAATGGTAGTCAGCCAGGATTTAGGATTTTCTGTACCTCTTTGTCACCATATTGCAGACATCTAGGTTTAATAGATCAGGTAGCTCTATTATTTACCAAACCAGAGTATCTATAACCATCATATACCATAATATACCACGTCAAAAAACAAATAGGCAAGCCATCTCATGCAATATAGGAATCCAACTGCTGTTGCGTTTTATCTTTTGGGGAAAATGAGGAAAAGCAAGCCAACTGTACCACAACATCAATGATTTTGAGGAAAAAAAAGAGAATAAAATACTCTTTCACAACAGGATTTTGAAAAAGTATTCTTTTCTGTCACCATCAATAACAACAGAAAAGCCTTACTCACATCTCTGTCCCTTGGGCAAGAACCTCACACTGTTCTTCTGTGTTCAGGGTTGAATCACAAGTGAGCACCTGGGCTCCTATTTTATCCTCCGGATTGCCTAACCTCAGTTACACATTAGCTGTCCCCTCTGCTCTCTGTGATGGACAATGTTCTGGAAAATGTGTTTTTCCATGTATTGGCAATTACAGCTTTTTTCCCTTTCTTTCCCAAGGAGAAGAGCAAACATTGACCCAGGTGGTCATTTCATCAGACTTCTGTCTGCTCTCCAGTCCTAGTCCTTCCACTATTCTACCTCCACTGTAGTAAAGTTGGCTTGAGAGGTCATTCTCTGACACAAACAAATTCGATATCACGGGAAATTCCATAAACAATAGTCCCTGCAGAACAATTTTTGCAGATTAAAAACAGGAAAGGAAACAAAAAGAAGTATGAATGATAGGTTTAGATATTGACGGTAATATATTTATATTAAAAGAAATTGAGAGAAAAAAATCCTTCAAAGTATTATAGTGGAGAAAACTGAGAACAAGGACTTCTTGGTTCTTTCGACCAGGTGCTAACTTTGGATGACAAATATCCATGTACAGGTACCATTTACGGCCATTTGCAATGTCCTTCAGTCACATGACCACAATTACGTTTTTGCCGAAAACTAGGGTTTACTTCTGGTTTGGGGCAAAAGCGTCCCATAGTGAATAATAGATTTGCTTAATGACTGTGTGGTTCATTTAACAACCACCACAAAAAAGGGTGTAAAATCAGGTCCAATCACATAATGATCTGTTTTATAATTATCACAACCTATGACCATAATGGGCAGGCTACACATTACCTGTACACATCTTTCCTCAGCAATTCTTTCCAAGAGCAAATTGTTCTCTGAGAAGTCTTCAAAGTAAATCTTTTTCTTCCTTTCTCCTCTTTTTATAATATAGTTCCAGCCCCTTCCTCCTTTGAATTAGGCATTGTGCCCTCAGTTACACCAAGAGTTTGGTCAAAGGAAAGGGAATTCCATTGACATAGAACAATATGAACACTGCACAGACATAGCTGTATTAGCCCATTACAAAGGAGCTACAGTCATGTAAAATTTTGAAGGCTGGTTAGAATAGAATAGAATAGAATAGAATGGAATGGAATGGAATGGAAGAATAGAATAGAATAGAATAGAATAGAATAGAATAGAATAGAATAGAATAGAATAGAATAGAATAGAATAGAATAGAGTTGGAAGGGACCTTGGAAGTCTTCTAGTCCAGCCCCCTGCTCAAGCAGGAAAACCTGTACCATCTCAGACAGGTGATTGTCTAGTCTCTTCTTAAAAATCTCCAGTAATGGAGCGCCCACGATAGCTGGAGGCAAACTGTTCCACTAGTTGATTGTCCTCACTGTCAGGAAGTTTCTCCTTAATTCCAGGTTGCTTCTCTCTTTGATCAGTTTCCAACCATTGTTTCTCGTCCTTCCCTCTGGTGCTCTGGTGAACAACGAGACCCCCTCTTTCTTGTGGCAGCCCCTCAGATACTGGAATACTGCTATCATGTCTCTCTTATTTCTTCTTTTCTTTAAACTAGCCAAATTTAATTTAATTAATTTAAACTCACTCAGAATAACCTATCAGGAATACTGGAATAAATGGATTTTTGAACTGATTCATCAAGGCTATTTCATGTAATCAAATAAGCATGACATGGAGTGGAAAAAGTGGGTAAAGGAATATTTGACAGAGAAAAACTGCACCTATTAAAATGTAGCCTGCAGGGTTCCTATACTCTACTAGTTTACTATCAAATGGTTGGTACTGGATCAGTCTGTTCTACCTCGGGATTGCATTACAAGCAAGCCAATTGTAACCGGACCTTGCAGTTATTTGAATCGTACATCCCACCTTGTTTGCCAATTTGGGTTAGTCATCCATTAACAAAAGAGAAAAAAGGATATGGTTAGAAAAATAAATTACATGTCAAATCAGTTTTATTTCTCTATTTAAATAAATCCCCAAATATGGCAAAAAGTCACAAAATATGGCACTTTACTGAATAAAAATATTTGAGCCCAGCATCTGAACAGGTTCATTGATCCACCACCACTCTCCACTTTGTACAAACTCAAAGTCAAGTCACAGATGAAAAGTAATTATTTCTTTTGTTCCACTGGGAGAGGGAAGGTTTTAATCCTTCCTCTTAGGTGCCACTGCCCCCTTGTGATCATGAATGGTAAATATAGGTATAATATATAATTATATAATTATATATTGTACCAGTATTCCAAAATTGACACCTGTGGCTAGCTTTCACTGCCATTCAAGGTCCATTATGGACATCTCTAAAATCCACAAAAGACTTCAAATTATTACTTTTTTTACATGTCTCGTGATATTAAATGTATTGTAATAACCATACTATATCTTGGTGCTCTCTGAGCTTGCTTGTTTTCTTGCAGACATTTCATTACCCAAACTAGGTAACATCATCAGTGCTAGTAAGGAGTGTGGTTTCTTGTCAGTTTATATTCTGGTGGTTTGGTGGCCTGACAGAGAAAGTCACCAGAATATAAACTGACAGCAAACCACACTCCTTTATTGATACTATTTCGAAGTATTGTATGACTTTCAGTGTTTTACAAATAGGATTGTCTTGCTTTATCATGTTAAGTATTACAAAGAAACCAAATCCCTAGCAATTTTCTGGGAGGGGAAAACTACTCACTATTATATTCATGATTCACAGCATACTGTAGTACTGATATATCTGCTGCCCTAATGTATATTAATCCCATACATCCCACAAAACCTAATTTGCTATCTTTCTAAATACTCAAAGTGAGAAATTTCCCAAGCCATAATCCTATTAGAAATCATTTCATTTCTGGTCTAGTGATAATTTGCAGGTATTAGCAATTTAAATAAGTTTAGGCCCATGGATTCATTCAGTTATATAAAGTTCTTACGGAAAGATGCCTATGGATTAAAAGCAAGAAGGTAATTATACAATAATTTTGAAAAATAAACAGATTACAGACCAAAAGCACTGTAACCCCAAGGAAAAATATTAAGAGAACTTTGAAATACAGTTGTATTCAAGAAAAAATATAATATCATTTTAGCAGTAAATAATTACAATTCTATATGTTGTTATCTAATGTAATTATTATTCAAGGGCATATATATTTTTAAGATATTTACATAATAATCATATTTCTTTTTTTAACCTAAGGTATTTTGTATAAATGACTCCCATATTTCATTACATTTGTCCATACAAAGTTTACATCTATAGGCACTTCACTCATAGGTGGCAGGTACAATCAGTCCTTAGTCCACTGAGTGAATGAGGCCGTCTTTCTAATGCTGCAATATCAGTATTTTGCCCATAATAGGGCACAGAAAATCTATTTATATTGTCCAGTTCTCAAATTCCAAATACCAGGTATGCAATGGTGGGATTCAAATATGTGAACAACAGGTTCTCTGTGTGGATGCCGCTTCCGGAAGTCCATTCTGGGCCTGGGCAACAAAAAATTAGCTACCGGTTCTGCTGAAGTGGTGTGAACCAGTTGAATCCCACCACTGCAGGTATGTAGTTCAAAAAATATTAACCTCTGAGTTTAAAACTGGATTCCCCATGAAGTCATAAAAATATATGAGTCAGGTATGATACATTCACCTTTCACCTCAGAATGTAGATATACAGGAATGCTGTGGATATAATTTACTTGGACTTCAGTAAGGCATTTGATAAAACAGATCATAATCTACTACTTGATAAGATAGAAAAATGTGGGTTAGACAACATCACCACGATATGGATCCATAGCTGGCTGACCGGCCATACTCAGCATGTGATCCTCAATGGAACTACATCTACATGGAGGGAAGTGTGTAATGGGGTGCCCCAGGGCTCTGTTCTGGGCCCAGTGCTCTTCAACATCTTCATCAACGATTTGGATGAGGGGATAGATGGGGAACTCATCAAATTTGCAGATGACACCAAGCTGGCAGGAATAGCCAACACTCCAGAAGATAGGCTTAAGATACAGGAGGATCTGGACAGACTTGAATACTGGGCGCTATTTAACAAAATGAAATTCAATGGTGAAAAAAGTACATTTAGGCAAGAAAAACCAAATGTACAGGTATAGTATAGGTGGTACCTTGCTCAATAGTAGTAACTGTGAGAGGGACCTTGGAGTCCTAATGGACAATCACTTAAATATGAGCCAGCAGTGTACTGCAGCTGCCAAAAAAGCCAACACAGTGCTAGGCTGCAATAACAGAGGGATAGAATCAAGATCACGTGAAGTATTAATACCCCTTTACAATGCCTTGGTAAGGCCACACTTGGAATACTGCATCCAGTTTTGGTCACCACGATGTAAAAAAGATGTTGAGACTCTAGAAAGAATACAGAGAAGAGCAACAAAGATGATTAGGGGACTGGAGGCTAACTCATATAAGGAACGGTTGCTGGAATTGGGTATGTCTAGTTTAATGAAGAGAAGGATGAGTGGGGACATGATAGCAGTGTTCCAATATCTCAGGGATTGCCACAAAGAACAGGGAGTCAAGCTATTCTCCAAAGCCCCTGAAGGCAGGACAAGAAGCAACTGATGGAAACTAATCAAGGAGAGAAGCAACCTATAACTAAGGATAAACTTCCTGACAGTTAGAACAATTAACCAGTGGAACAACCTGCCTCCAGAAGCGGTGAATGCTCCAACACTGGAAGTTTTTAAGAAGAGACAGGACAGCCATTTGTCTGAAATGGTATAGGGTTTCCTGCCTGAGCAGGGGTTGGACTAGGTGACCTCTAAGGTCCCTTCCAACATTATGATGATGTTGTTGTTGTTGATGATGATGATGATGATGATGACTGGTTGGTCAAGAAGACCAAAATGTTAGTCATTCAAAAAGAATGACTAACATTTTGTAGGATGCAGTGACATGATTGCAGCTTTGCCTTGTCCTTTAAATATTTTTGAAGGATTACTCTCAAATAGTATCTATTACAATGTTATCAACACTGGTATTGTTATATATTAATTTTTATTTATTTTATTTATTTATCAGATTTCTCTGCTGTTGCTCCTACTCTCTGGAACATCTTTCCTCCCGTTGTGAGGTTGGCCC